CGAAGGCTTTTGGTCCGAGTGGAAAAGGTCCGCGTCATGTGGAGGCAGGACCCCGCTGTGTGCTGTAGCTTAGTGTCTTAAACTGGTAGCGGAGCCTGTGTGCTCCTGTAGGACCGTAGTTTTGACGCCATGTCGGGCAGTGCAGTTGGACCGCCTCCAGGGTTTGAAGGCGACAGTGTGAGTGACGACCCGGGGAGGGCGAATGTTACACCTCCTGAGCCAGCAGACGTTCCTTCTACGCCTAGTTTGGGGAGCGGAGACGGACGACGAGCTGGCACCCAAGGCGACGCTTCCGGATCGGACGACGGATCGCAGGGTCGCAGAGTTACCAGCGACCGCAGTGTGAGCGAGCCACACTGCAGTGGGGCATCAGCCACTCGGTCGGAGTGGCCAACAAGAGTCGGCACCGCCAGGGGGCCCGATGGCGAGCAGCCGAGTCACTTACGGAGAAGTGATGGGGAAGCTCCGGATGGGCGAAGAGCTAGCTGGAGCACAGCAGTGGACCCGCCCGGGTCCCATCGCGGAAGCGATCCATGGACAGAGAGAGATCCATGGCAGCAGGACTACAGCGGATACGGTCACCCGCATCGGTGGAGCGAAGGCGGCTACGTGGATCGAGGACACCCTGCCAGATGGCAAGACGGCAGCCGCTACGATGACCGTGGACATCCGAACAAGTGGAACGAGGACTGGGATCATGTGCATTTAGCCCACGACCCCCGGTTACTCGATTATGGAGAGCGTTGCCCTGATCCCTGGGCTGATGGTCGAGACCGGACGGGACCTCACCGCGATCATGCGGAAGCGCGTCAAGCCTGGAAACAAGAGTTCCACCATGGACCCCTTCGGCAGCACGATTCCGAGCGACATCGAGCTGGTCCCTGGGCAGATGGGCGAGACGACGGCCGCCGACCGCACGATCATGGAGAACGATGGGGAGCCTGGGACGACGCAAGGACTCAGGACCACCTCGGCCCAAGGGGCTGGGAACCAACGAGGAATTCATGGCGTGAAGACCACAGCGGCGGTGGATATGGAAAGGGAAGCTATGGCCGTCCTTCCGAAAAGCTGTCCGTGCCCACCTTCTCTGCCGAGGACACTGACGACTTGGGGTCGTCCGCCAGGTCATATCTTCGTCAGGTGTCGGCATGGCGGCAGATGACGTTGCTACCGCTGGGGCAGCAAGGACTGGTCCTGTACCAAGGGCTCACCGGAAAGGCATGGATAGCTGCTGAGGAGTTGTCGGTGACGAGGCTTGGCGAGGACACCGGCATCGACTACTTCATATCCTGGGTTTCCGCGCGGTTCATGGATCTGGAGGTGGCGAGGATTGGCAAGGCATTCTCGGACTACTTCAGGAGAATGAGGCGCAAGCCGGGGCAAGCCATCCGGGAGTTTAACACCGAGTACGACCGCATGTACGGGAGGCTGCGCGAGGTCGGGTGCAATCTGCCGCCAGAGGCGGCGGCTTGGGTCTACTTAGACAGGCTCCAGTTGGACGAGGCCCAAGAGCTCAATCTCCTCGCGTCTGTCGGCAACAGATACGATCTGCTGCGGCTTCAACAGGCCGCCACTCTTCACGACAGGGGGCAGCGAAAGCCATGGGAAAGCCATGGCATGCGCAACAAGAAGACAAACTACGCGCACATGACCTACCACGATGACGAGGAGTCCGACGAGCTCGCCGACCCCCAGGACGAGGACGGCATTCCGGAAGAGGTGGCCGAGGCCTGGGTCACCTACCAGAGCGCAAAGGAGCGCTACAGATCGCAGCAGCGCTCGCGAGGCTTCCACGGAGACGGAGCTGCCAAGCAAGGTGAGAACGAGGGCGAAGCCGATAAGAGCGGAGGCCGGGATCCTGGGCGCGAGGCAAAGCTGAAGGCCATGAAGTCCAAAAGCTTCTGCAGCGGATGCGGAAGACGTGGCCATTGGCATAAAGACGACGCTTGTCCGCTCAATCAGAGCGGAGGTGCCAGTGGAAAAGGCGATAGTGGAGCTGGGGCACGACATGTCGCGATGACCACGGTCCTGCCCGCCGATGTCTATGCTCTTCGCCACGTGATGGACCTGGTCGGGGTGACGGACACTGCATGTGCAAGGACGGTAGCCGGAACGCAATGGCTGCAAGCTTACACTGACAAGTTAGCTGAGCTTGGACAGCGACCCACGCTCCAGAAGGAGAACGAGGCCTACCGATTTGGCGCGGGCAAGATCCACTACAGCTCCTTCTACGTCATCCTCAACTTCGAGCTGGGCAACTGCGTACTTCAGGTTCGTACCTCGATCATCACCGGAGATATCCCGTTACTACTCTCCAAAACGGTCTTGGGGAAGTTGGGCATGGTGTTTGATGTGGAAGGCGGGACTGCGGACTTTCGCAAAATCGGACTTAGCAACTACAAGCTGCTCACCACATCTTCTGGGCACCCTGCGATACCGATTGTGCCGGCAAAGGCCGACAGCATGACTCCTGTGCTACAGGTAGAGGACGTCCGACTGCAGCCCAAGGAGCAATACATGTCCGTCTATGCAGTAGCCCACAAGCCCCCAACAGGCCCCCCGACTACCGGAATCTATCATGAGAAGAAGTTGGACCCGAGTGTGAAAGATATGCTTTCTCAGGATCGTCTACAGCTCGATACTTTTATGGCATGGTGGCAACAAACCTCTTACGGGTCTGATTTCTGGCTAGAAACCCCAAGTACATGGATGAGGATTCATGTCGTACCAAGAAGAGCAATGCACAACCCCTCAACATGGCGTACAAGTACTTCCATCCTCCGGGACATGCTGCTTACAACACTTGGTCATACACGAGTAACAGAGTGCGTGTGTTGCGATTCTGGACGCTGGATAGAGACTACTGTAGATCACTGGGAGTCCGAGCGTGAAGATGAGCATGCATTTCCGCTACTTTGGGTTGGAAGAACCACCTTGTACAAGGTGCGGCCCCCTGATGCTCTCGTTGCTTGCGCCTTCGGCGATGGACAAGCGGGCGCAATGCGACTCAGAGGAAAAGCCACGGCCGCTTGGTATGATGAGGAAAACCGAGCTCCTGGAGTACGCGATGCAGTTGGGGATGACCGTGCACCCCTCGTGGACAGTCATCGAGCTGAGGGCGGTGATCAGGGAGCACCTCGCGGAGAACGAAAAGACGGACGTGAGCGCTCGCATGAAGAAGATCAACTCGCTGAACCTCGCCGAGCTCCGCGCCAAGGCCATGGAGTTGGACGTAGCGATTCCGCAGAAGGCCACCAAGGGACTGATCCTCAAGCTGATTCGGGAGAGCCTCAACACCCCGGACAACACCCTGATGACCATCGGACGTTGGCGCGGGAGCGAGTACCAGGAAATTCCCCAGAGCTACGGAGTGTGGGCAGTGAGAGAAGTGGAGAGATCGGACAACAGCCACCCAGACCTGGTCAGGTACGCAAGGTGGTTTTCCAATCACCAGAAGGAGGTCGCCGGGAGGACCAAGATCGCCGACGACGTGGACGAGACCTACCAGGAGACGATCCACAAGCTCTCCACCGAGAAGGACTCCTGGGATCAGGCGTCGATGATATCTGTACCCAAGTCAAAGAACCCAACGGGGAAAGGGAATACCAAGACGACGCCGAAGCGGGCCAGCGACGAGCTCAAGGACAAGAAGGGATACATGGATGCGACGCCGGACGCGGAGGTGACCGCGGAGATCGAGGCCCTGGAACTCAAGCTCGCCCTCCTCAAGGACAAGGCCCGTGGAAGCAGGGAGTAAGCGAGTACAGTCTACGTGAAGGTCGCCGCGACGACGCTGGGGCCGAAGACCATAGCGTCAACTGCTGCGGATGGGTGAAAGAGGCCGGTAAGATCTGCGAAGAGGACTTCGTTCGAGGTCACTACAACCAGGCGGTGATCTACGTGAACCAGCACCACGAGCACTACGATCACTCAGGTGAGCCACGACAAACCCCGGCGCAGGCCCACGAGCTACGCTACGGTCAAGGTAAATTCGATTGGCAGGACTACTCCTTTGTGAACTGCCAAAAACTTCTAGACGAAATCTCCCTCTTCGAGGACAAGAACAACCTCCGGGCAATCCACTACAACGATGAGTCCGAGAACGCCCGCTACGCGACTACGGGATGTTCAGTCACGGTGGAGTTCATGGAATCACCCGAGCCACGAAAGACTATGACGGGCTAGTTCGATACTTGAACCACTTCGGCAAAGCCCATCTCGGGGGCCATGCCACGTGGACATCCATCTCGGTGACCCAAGACGCTGGCACCGAGGCGCACCGGGACAGTAACAACCTGAAGGGGTCATCCAATTACTGCGTCACCTTCGGACAAGATCGCGGAGGACAACTGTGGCTGGAAGCACAAGGTGTAGACGAAGCTCAGGCCAATGGAGGCGAAGTGATATGGAAGCGCGACAAGAGTGGGTCATGGATACCAGGAAAGACATGCGACAACTTCGAGAAGTTCATCGAGCTCGACCCACACCTCAAGCACTGCTCCAGCGCGTGGAAGGGAAGCCGATGGTGCCTGACCTACCACACCGCTCGGGGCATTACTACCTGTGGGCCAGAGATCAAGAAGTTCTTGCGCAGCAGCAACTTCCCGTTGCCAAGGTGTGGGAAGAGTCCCGACGGAGCTGTTTATCAGAAGAAGAGAGCTACTAAGGCCACGCGCAACACCATCATGAACAACACCGGAAAGATCAGCGTGCTCATGGCAACTCTGATCATCACGGCCTTCGCCTACCTCGCCGATGCGTGGAACCTGGGCGTCAACTATGACCCGATCGTCAGGATTGAGATAGGGGGCTTGGAGGGCACCCTCGAGGCGACCGAGTTAGAAAAGGCTGTGATCGAGCCAACGGCCTGGACCAACTACCTCAACCCTGAGACCCAGACCAACGCCTACCACTTCGTTGTCGGAGCGAACCCCAAGGAGCTGAGGACTCACCTCGACGAAATGCCGAGCCGGGCACAGGGGCCCATCGATGCACTCATTCGTCAGCAAATCGACGGAGGCGGTGAAGTTATGCTACGTGGGGAACGACTTTCGGGCTATGTTGCCAACCTCTATGACTACCTCCAGCACCGGTCAGAGAGCATGAACGACCTGGGCATTTCCGAGGAAGGCGGGCGCTGCCCCATCGAGGCAGACGGTCACCCCAGTGACTACGAGCCTAGTATGTCAGACGAGGACAGCGCAGAGACTATCCAGCTTGATGCTGACGGAGACCACGAGATGCCTACAGGGTCTTCACCTACAATGCCGTCAACACCACCTACGCGCAGAGTGAAGAGAAAGTCAAGATTCATCAACGAGGACTACTCGGGCATCGTTGTGTACCACGATGCCGCATGGGCGAACGCGCTGGACACGGCCTATGACGAGGAACACTTCGAGCTCACCGCCGAGGACAAGGCCGCGGGCTTGCAGACCGAGGGACCCTTTACCGAGAAGGTCTGCAAGGTGATGCGCGTTAGCTCCAAGGTGGCATCATCCAAAGCCGGACAGCGAGTATGCCATAGCATCTTTGGAGCAGAGACTCAAGCTTGCGTCGAAGGCGTTGAGGGTGGCCAGTACCTACAGTCCTTCTACGAGACAGTCTTGGCAGGCACCCTTGTCGCGGTGGAAGACGCGCGGACTCCGCAGTTGTGCTTAAGCGACCGAAGACTCGCCATTGGTTTGGCGGCCTTGAGACAGACACCGAAAGCCGAGAAGTGGAGTACTCGTTTGCCCCTCGGCTGGATCCTAAGTGGACTCCAGCTCGGGGACGTTTTGACAAAGCCCACCGACCAAAGAGGCTGGTGGGACACGATAAAGTCTCGCCTAGTTATCCCCATCGAAGTTGGGGAAGTTGGCCAGACCAGCAGAGATTTTTCAGAGATGAAGACCAGTGTGAAGCACAAAGATCGTGTTATCAAGCAGACTAAGTGGACCCGCAGTTGTTTCCCACAGTGCTCACCAGGTCAAGCCTCTCGCTAGTACAGAAGCACAGATTCCGAAGCAGGTGATGCCGAAGGCTTTTGGTCCGAGTGGAAAAAGTCCGCGTCATGTGGAGGCAGGACCCCGCTGTGTGCTGTAGCTTAGTGTCTTAAACTAAACCCTCAACAACCCTAAACCCTAAACAACCCTTAACCCTGAACAACCCTAAACCCCTAAACCCTAAACCCTCAACAACCCTAAACCCTAAACCCTAAACCCCTAAACCTTAAACCCTGAGCAACCCCAATCCCTAAACCCCAAAAACCTAAACCCCTAAACTCTAAACCACTGAACCGTAAACTCTAAAAACCTAAACCCTTAAACCTTAAACCTCAGACGCTTAAGAAGAGCCCAGGCCTAAACCCTAAACCCCTAAACCCTAAACCCTAAATCCTAAACCCTAAACCCTAAACCCTAAACCCCTAAACCCTAAACCCTAAACCCTAAACCCTAAACCCTAAATCAACCCAGGATCTTCCAGGCGACTCTGATCTGAAGCGATCTCGCGCCACTCGCAGCGGCCATCCCCAGAGGATGACAGGGTCAGGACCACCGTGAATAAATGCCTTTGGGGGTTCTGGGTTTAGGGTTTAGGGTTTAGGGTTTAAGGTTTAAGGTTTAGGGTTTAGGGTTTAGGGTTTAGGGTTTAAGGTTTAAGGTTTAAGGTTAAGGGTTTAGGGTTTAGGGTTTAGGGTTTAGGGTTGAGGGTTGAGGGTTTGTGGGTTTTGAGCTTCAGGGCTTTCGGGCTTTAGGGGGAACATGGGAACTGCCTCTGTAGGTCCATGTTATCCTGGTGCCAACCCAACAGATGCCCCTCTTGATAGTCCAGCACGTCGCCAAAGGTCACTTCCACCGCCTGACCAGGAAAGGAGGCGATAAGCTGTTCCGCAGCTTCCAAAATTGCAGGGCAAGTGGATCGAAAACGTTCCCAGTCACTTTCCCTGCAGCGAGGGCCTAAGCAGACCTTGTCAGGCTTTCCCGCACGGATCCATGTGACTTCGGGATAGCGGTAGCGCATTGCATCGGCCTCCTGAATATAGACATGATCCGGCTGCGGAAGATCCACCTGAATCGCCAAGGGTCGGGGAGAAAAGGCAATGTCTTCTGCAGATGGTAGCTCCCACAATTTCGCTAGTTTCGGCCCTTCCTGGAGGCAAGCAGCTTGGGTTCTTGGTCTTCGCCTCCCGCCCATCTTGGACATGGTGGCTAGACCAAAAGGCAAGGAAGCCTAAACCCTAAATCTCCTCTGACTAGATAGGGTTTCGGCAGAGGGAGCTGATGTTGCTCAGCTCGACAAGCCGCAGTCCATAGATCAAGGACATGCAGCACAAGTAGAAATTGAGGACCAACAAACTTGATGAGAATAGAATTTTGCGGCACGCAAACTCTACATACATGAAATAATCTGTAAAAACATACACACATACATACTTACTTACATATACACACACATATATGTATATGTATATGTATATGTATATGTATATGTATATGTATATGTATATGTATATGTATATGTTTATGTTTATGTTTATGTTTATGTATATGTATGTATGTATGCATGTGTATATATGTATATACCTGCCGGGAAGGAAAACAACTACCGGTGCTGTCGGATCAAAGCTGCAAGCTTAGAACCAGGTCACTCGGTTTTAAAGCAACGAGCCTGGCTTGAGCCGTCATCAGCTTCGTCTTTAGGGTTTAGGGTTTTTGTAGGGTTATAGAGCTTAGGGTTTAGGGTTTAAGACTTAGGATTTCTTTAGGGTTCAGGGTTTAGGGCTTAGGGTTTAGGGTTTAGGAACAAACTGGGGCAGACATAGCATAGTTGGCGTGCGCATGAACCCTGCCGATTAGCTTGGACTTGCCACGTCGCTCTGAACGCACATTGGCAGCCCCCGCAGAAATGAAGAGATCTGCCGGCTCGTCGTTTCTCGAAAACCCTACAAAACCCCCTCATAGAACCTGTCAAGGAACCCTGAAAGGAACCCTCAACCTTAAGCATAAAACCTTAGCCCGATGCCCTAAACCCCGTAATAAACCCTAAACCCTAAACCCTGTTACAAACCCTACACCCTAAACCCCGTTACCAACCCGAAACCCCGTTATAAATCCTAGACCCTATAACCCCAAAAAACCCTAAACCCTAAACCCTATAACCCTAAAACATCCTAAACCCTAAACCCCGTTATCAACCGTAAACGCTGTAACCTCAAAGAAACACTAAACTCTAAACCCCCAAACCCTAAACGCTAAACTCTAAACCCTAAACCCTCAACAATAAACTCTATAACCCCAAAAAAATCCTAAAACCTAAACCCTGAACCCTAAACCCTTAACCCTACACCCTATGACCCAAAAAATCCTAAACCCTAAAATCTAAACCCTAAACCCTAAACCCTAAACCCTTAACCCTACACCCTATGACCCAACAAAAATCCTAAACCCAAAACCCTAAACTCTAAACCCTAAACCCTAAACCCTCAACTCTAAACCCTATAACCCCAAAAAAATCCTAAACCCTAAACCCTCAATTCTAAACCCTGAAACCCCAAAAAATCCTAACCCCTAAACCCTAAACCCTAAACCCTTAACCCTACACCCTATGACCCAAAAAATCCTAAACCCTAAACCCTAAACCCTACTTGGCAGCTTCGCACCTGCCAGCCCACAGCCCGGCGTTGGGCCAACATCGACTCGCGATCGACGCTTGGCGGATCAGGGACCTTCAACTTAGGGTTTCGGGTTTCGGGTTTGGGACAAAGTCGGGTCTAGGGTGGTTTAGGGTTTAGGGTTTAGGGTTTAATCAGGGACCTTCAACAAGCTAGGGGGCTTAGGGTGGTTTAGGGTTTCGGGGTGTTGCTTTTAAAGGGTTCCTTAAAGGGTTCTATAAGGGCTACTATAAGGGTTTAGGGGTTTCGGGTTTCGGGTTTAGGGTTTGGGGTCTAGGGTGGTTTAGGGTTTCGGGTTTCGGGGTTCAGGGTTTAGGGTTTCGGGTTTCAGAGTTCAGGGTCTAGGGTGGCTTAGGGGTTTCGGGTTTAGGGTTTAGGGCTTGGGGTTTAGGGTGGTTTGGGGTTTGGGGTTTCGGGGTTTAGGGTTTAGGGTTTCAGAGTTTAGGGTTTAGGGTTTCGGGTTTCGGGTTTCGGGGTTTTTTAGGGCTTTAGGGGTCTAGGGTGGTTTCGGGTTTGGGGTTTCGGGCTTAGGGTTTAGGCTTTCAGAGTTTAGGCCGTAATTAGGGTTTAGGGTTTAGGGGTTTGGGGTTTAGGGATTAGGTTTTAGGCTTCAGGGTTTAGGGTTTAGCGGTTTAGGGTTTCAGGTTTTAGGCTTTTAGGCTTTAGGGTTTAGGGTTTCGGGCTTAGTAAACCCAAACCCTAAACCGTGTTACAGCTTAGGAAAAGGCATCGTTGGGTTGAGGATCAAACCCTAAACCCTAAACCCTAAACCCTAAACCCTAAACCCTAAACCCTAAACCCTAAACCCGAAACCCTAAACCCTAAACCAATCTGGGCCTCGGTCTTCAGATCGGAAGTCGCTGATGCCCTATCACTCGGCGGTAATTCCGAAATCTGGTTCCCTGTTGGGGCTAAATTAAACATGATCATGTTTAATCAAAAACCCTAAACCCTAAACCCTAAACCCTAAACCCTAAACCCAAAACCCAAAACCCTAAACCCTAAACCAATTTTGTTTAATATAGCAAACATGTAAAATTGTAGCCAACAAGGACCCAGATATGGTGTGGCTGCGAATCGGCTATGAGTCGGCTGCGATTCGGCTCTGATGAGGCCCTACAACTCTAAACCAACATAGCCTAGAGCTAAACCCTAAACCCTAAACCCTAAACCCTAAACCCTAAACCCTAAACAGACCCTTTCTGGCATGCTGCAACGGGGTTAAACCCAAACCGGAAAACTATTTCGGGAACCCCTCGGACCATAGAAAACCCTAAAGCGGAAACCCTAAACCACAAAACCTCAAAACCCTAGGGTTTAGATTTTAGGATTTAGGGTTTAGGATTTAGGGTTTAGGGTTTAGTGTTTAAACCCTAAGCACCCTTGAAAACCTTAAACCTTCAACCCCACACCCCGAAGCCTTGAAAACCCTAAACCCGAAGCACCCTTAAAAACCCTGCACCAATAAAAAACGACACACCAAATCCGCTGAAACTCCTACACCCTAGGTTTAGGGTTTAGGGTTTAGGGCCGAAACTATTGAAAACCCTTGAAAAGCCCTAAAACCTAGCCAAGGCCTTAGGATCCATGTTGAAGCCCTCGGTCGAAGGCACCGCCATCGCTGCCACACCTGCCAAGAGCTTGAAAGCCGGTTTTGGGCCTAAAGCCTGCATGCATGTGGGTGGTTGTCAAAATTATGGTCCCTTTATGGGTCCTTATTATAATACGGCACCTATTATTTAGGGTACCCCAGAATGGACCATAATTTTGACAACTACCCATGTGTGGATATGTGGATGGATGGGTGGATGGATGGATGGACGGACGCACGAACGGAAGGACGAACGGAGGGAGGGAGGGATGGATGGATGGATGTGCCCGGCGCAGGGGCGATCTGCACAGCGTTCGGGGGCACACCTTGAATATCGTCGAACTTGGAGGTGCGAGTCGAAAAAAACTGCACAACGGCCAGAGGCCAAGATGGGGTATGTGGTTTAGGCTTTATGGCCTGCGGTTTGGGCTTTGGGTTTAGGTTCTTTCGACGCGAAACATGACGGTCGCAAAAACCTTTGGGTAGAAACATACCAGGTGAAACTGTGAAACCCCCACGCCTTTAATTTAAGTGCCAGAAGCGATATCCCTGCAAGAGCCTTAGACATGCTTATTTTACTTAAGGTCTCCGGGAAAGGCGATTTGGGAGCTCATCTTACACGGCCGGATTCAGGATGTGCAATCTAGGGCGGTTTAGGGTTTAGGGTTTAGGGGTTTAGGGTTTAGCGTTTAGGGGCTTGGGCTTTAGAGGTTTAGGGTGTGGGGTTTAGGGTCTAGGGG